AATTAAATTATTATGAGTGGTGGAAATTGGGAGAAGAAAAAGTGTAGAATTACCTAAGCAATCTCTCAAACTAAAATCGAAGTCATTCAATATTGAAGATGGTAAATTATTGCCTAAGTCTGCTATCGGACTAGGACTCGAACTTGGTAAATATTCAGATACCGGTGGTGAAAATGGCTCTTCATTCGAAGACTCACTAATTCTGTAATTTACTGTAGATTGTCGTCTGCTACTTCGACTTGTTGACGGCGCGGTGTACATAATATCACCACGACTGACTTCATAATTTCCAGATGTTTGTTCTGCTTCTGTGTCGTCGTCTGTAAATAAATTATTTTATTATAAAATGTAATATAAATATCATATTAAGTTGTTACTAAAGACGTCTTGCTCACAAAATAAGGTAAGTTAAGGTAAGACATTATTCTTTGTCTGACATCCTCGATGCCACAATTATTAGTGTCTATAGGACGAAAGGCTCCGGGTTCCATTCCCGGTCGGACAAACAAACAAACTTTACTAAACTGACTTGGGTCTGAGTGTACGTACCCCTTGCCAAATCCTTTACAGAATCCTTAGTTTAAGACCAGGTAATTAAAGTGATATGGCTGAGATTTTTAGATGTAAGTATATAAATATAACGCCTCGTTAGTTTAGTGGTATAAGTCCTGGGTTCAATTCCCGGGTTGAACAAACTTTGTGTCGGTTTTTTCGGACACAGATCGATTACTTTTATATAAATATACTAGCTTCCGCCCGCGGCTCCGCCCGCGTGGTACCTACTTACGGGGATAAAAAGTAGCTTATGTTACTCGTGGATAACGTAGCTTTCGAATGGTGAAAGAACTTTTAAAATCGGTCCTGTAGTTTCGGAGCCTATTTATTACAAACAAACAAACAAAAAAATATTACCTCTCTATAATATTAGTATAGATTAAACAATAATACCTAGTTAACGATTTTGAAAGTATCATGTACCTAATATAAATATTTACAAATACACATTTTGTTATAACATCTATGGTATGTCTTTACAAATTAGAAATAAAAATACACGTTAGTAACAGAAATTAATTTTATAATAATAAGGAATCGATCATCGAATCATTCATATAGGTTCCCCTAGTTTGAGACCAGACGATTGCTGTAATTGTCTAGCGCACTTACATACTACTTGAACCACTAGCTGGCGGTAAGATAAAACATCGTGAGGAAACTGCACCTTCATTCATTCAGAATGTGTAACCACGATATTGTTTTGGTTCCGGTTACAAAGGTCGGACGACAGTCGCTCAATGTTATTGATTATACAGTAAACACGTCATTGTGGAATAATTTATTTTTAGCTTTTATAAGAATTAAATCTAAATGTACTTACCTATTAACTTCAAAATTCTTCTCGCCCTACTGTGCTGTGTCCGGTTATACATTTTCAGGTCACTTTACTTTACAATAAGAAGAAAAACCACTCAATTGTTGTTGTTTTGTTTTCGCAAATGCGTAAACGCAGCTATTACCTTGACCTAGAAACGGGCACTGACTGTCAAGCGCGTGGATACGCACCGCCCCCTCCCCCCTGCATCGACGTATTCACGCTTATGTTCCCGCTGTCTACTCCCGCGCCGCTGTATCAAATCTTACGTCCCGGTGCAATGAAAATATTGTAGTGGAAGAAAGAAGTAATAATTCTTATGTTACAGCCGTGCTGCAGTTTGTAGTCTTATGTTTCGACGTAAAGGAAAGTTTTTAGTGGAAAAAAGCAGTAATTGTTATTATTGTAATTTATTTTAAGTTCATAAGAAGTAAACAGTCATACTGCTGTTTTTATTTTTTAAGTTTATCTTTTTGGTTAAGTAAGCGCATTTAAGATAATTTCCTTACCTAGTTAATATAACGAATAAAAAGATAATCGTGTATACAAGACTAGCGATGTAAAAAAAGCAAACGCATTTAAATCATAATATTTGTTACTATTTATTTTCTACATTAAATTTTAGGTATAAACATATTATTAATTAATATGTCATATTTTTTAATTTATTATTTGCGTTATATCACATAATCTACTAATCCTTAAGAAAAAAAGTGATGGAATATAAATTCTCAAAACTATTTTCTTGAATTAATTCGTCAAATTAAACAAGAAAAATATGAAAAAAAAATTGCGTATGTATCTTTAAACGTTCTTTTCAAATATGATAAAATCGATGATTCAATGTAAATTCACTTATGCCTATTTTCCACTGAGGGTACGTACTTACTTCATTGTAATCTTGCAGCAAGCTATATCCTGCAGCAAACGTATTGAGTAACTAGTTCTAGCACAAACAAGTCTTTTCCTTCCACAAAAGAGTCTCTTTGTCACTTTCAAGTTTACGAACCCCCATGTTTTCTCCACACCATTACGATATAACACGTTAAAGGTCTGAATTGAAACCACTTGAAATATCTTAAAGAGATCAGCTTTGTCAACCAATAGGGCCTAAAATGGACTTGTTTGATTTGGTAATCGGTGGAACTGGCTACACTGAAGGGTCGCACCCTAAACCATTATTTTTCCAATGGGTTTCCTCGAACAGCCTGTTCCAATAAATTATTGTTACGTGTATATTAGTAGGGTACTGTTTACTCGTTCGTTGAAAATTTTATAACGAACGGTTTCTATTACTGACGGCAATGTAATGGTCATTTTTTATTTGTGGTGTATTTTGTATTTTTGGTGATTGTATTTTTTTAGAAAAAATGAAAATTGATTTGAGTGAGAGCTTATTTATTATTTTGCTTGTGTGTTTGGGGTTTTTGTTTTTATATTAATATATTAATGTTTTTTTAACAGTCGTTAGCGTTTATAAATTTTATTTTAATAACGGGTAAACATATTTTATTCGTGGCATTCAGTTTTCACGAAGGCTTTATCAATTCTATGTTTTTAATAATGGGGTTATTTCAATTACTTTTCAGCATCTACGTTCAAAATAAAATTATTAATATTTGAAATTTAAATAGTTAAACATGTTCTAACTGCCATATTCCAATTCTATAAAGCTTCGATATTTCCAAAATTTTACTACACAAACAAATAGTTATTAACTTTATAAGCCCTTTTATACAAATAAATAATCACAGAATCTCATTTCCTCCACAGGTCCCCAATAACTTTATTAAGTTTAACATCCCCTTTATTGGATTTCATTAAATACTGTCAATTTACAGATGGCTGGGAATATGTCAAACAGTTTATTGGTGGCCATTTATTTATGTTCTATGTTTAAATTTGAAACGATTAATTGTTGAATAAAAAAAGTATTCGTTTATCTATACATATATTAAAGAATTAAGACCGTTTCCCGTTGTCACGCCATAACTAGAGAACGGCTAGAAAGATTTTTGTTGTATTTGTTATTGTCAGCAGAAAGTTCTTATGATAGAAAAAAATTCCTGAAAATCCTACGGGAATGAGAGAAACGGGATTCACGTACGAAGTCGCGGGCAGAAGCTAGTTTATTATATAAACTGATCTTAATATGATGGTGAATTTATGTAATTAAAGTTAATTTATTTACATCAATAGATTCTTAATCATTTCATTTTCTCGTATTTTCATGTATTTCGATTTTGGTTCAATTTCATACTTATACGTATCTTTCAATATATCACAGTGCATTTAATCAACTCTTTTAGAGTAATAATACATTTTCCCTGCCATGCATTGCACCAATCAGTATTGAATTTTAACTTTTTCAATTTGAACCAATCCAAGGTTATATTACCAGAGTTCCAATGTAATGAGCAAGGGAAAACGTCATCTGCTTTTTGTAGCTCAATTTAACAGCACCTTTAAGCCATATAATTTAGGAACTGTCATAAAACGAGGTCCTTCAAGATTTTCATTAGTTGAAAGGACGGATTGTAAAACGAAGTGGAATGTCTGTTTTCAGCTTTATTTATTTATTATCTGTTTCCTTGTCAAGAAATAAACGTCACTGTCAACGGTGGCAGCATCAACGACAAAAAAATTGGCGCCAAATTGACGGCAAAATTAAATTTAATATTTCTTGAAAAAATGTTGTTTTTTGTTTTGAATGTATACTGAATAATTTTCCTTAATTTCTGTTAAATAATTCGGTATGCATAAAGGAAAAAAATACAAATTATTTTTCTACTAAAATGTTTATTTGGAGAACTGTTTACAATAGTCATGGATTGGATAACAATTCTTAACTAAATAGGATATAGGACTCTATTTTAAACACCTAAAACATTTGGATATAGGTTACAAATCAAAATTGACAAAATAGATTTTATTAAAGCATTTAAAGTAATTTGGTTTTATGTAAAATATTGAACAAAAATCGCATCCATATACAAAAACATGGTATAAAAACAAACAATGAAAGTTTTTTGTCAAAATAAATAAATAATTCAATGGTTTTTGTTTTACAAAATGAATATAATTTTAGTTTTCTGTATTTCATTAACATTGGAACAGGACAAAGCTTAAAATATAAAAAAATATAGAAAGGAAAGATGACAAAAAGATACTTTTTTTATATCATAAGCCGTTAAACGAGCAGACAGATCACCTAAGCATATCAGACAGATCAGGTAAGCAATCGGCGCCGCCCATGGACACTCGAAACACCAAGGCGTTACAAGTGCGTTACCGGCCTTTTGGGAATTGGGAAGTTGAGAATTGTGGAGGATTCGAGGATTGGACTTGAAAGGGCATGGAAGTTAATACATGAAAGTATTATTTTGATTACAGTTCTTGTTTTTTATACAAGCTGTGGATAAATATATATATACAAATTTACAACTAAAAGCCTTATAATGAGCCAGGTTGTTAACCACAAAATCTTTTACAAAAACAAAACCTAATCAGAGTTTCAGTTGAAACAAAACAGTAGGTATTATTATACTAAAATATAACGCTTACATGTTTAATGACCGTGTCAAATATATGTACATATTTACATTAAATTATCACATAACAATAGCAGCTAATATACTTGTAATAATGTTAGTAGAACAATTATGGCGATCGTTCTTGGAAAGGTTGTTGAACTGTTGTATTGTGATTTTTGTTTCACGGCACCTTCTGTTAGACCTGTAGGATAGAAATATAGGGTTAGAAAGGGGTATTCTCCTGTGAAATTTACATCATTAACCGACTTCAAAAAAGGAGGTATTTCGTTCGACTTGTACGTATGTATGTATATATATAATTTGTGTCCAAACATCTCGCTATCAGCTGAACCAAATTTGATACGTTTTTCAGAAAAGTTTTTGTTATACTTAGGAGAAGGTTTTAGGATTAATATGCTATCTCTTCGGTTAATTAATATTAACCGCCTTCAAAAAAGAGGAGGTTGAAGTCGGTTTTTTATATTTAGTTCATAATTTATTAAATGTTATTTTACATTGATAATTAAAATGGCGATTTGCTCGCGAAAACCTCAACTACTTACAAGCCATAACGGGACTCTTCTTCATAATCAGCGTGCGCTGGTCATGAGTTATTAGTTAGCGCGAGTAAACCAAAATTTTTAATTATTGTATGATCATATTTTACACTACACCTAGATCGGGAACAACAACTTTTACATATATACAAAGAACAGTCTCGTGCAAGAATCGAATCCGCACATGACACCTTACCTTGTGCCAACCATGTCATTATTCATATTCATGTAACTTATAATTTCAGATTTAGCTGATAAGGCTCTCACAAAGCGTACAACGATAAAATTATTAAAATTACACATGAATATTTCACTACACCGCGTGAAAACAAAACGAATTTACAAAAAAATATGTATTCAAAAACAAAAAAACTGCTATGCCAAATAGATCGGTAACCCCTTCGGAAGTATTCCCAAGATTATTATGATCCATACATGTATCTATGTATTTCAATATCCCTTCACTTATATTACTCATATATTTATTCATATCGGTACATACCCTAAGGACTTAAATCTTATTTACTTACCTCCTATGTTAACTTCGGCCGACGATTGGGAACTAGGATACAGTTTTATTTCTGCAAAAAAATATATGATTTTTAGCATCCTCTGGGGTTTTGTGTGCTAAAGAAAATATTACTTAGCTGATCTATTTTAGGTCGGATTTTGTGCTGTAGTTTTGGTGAAGGAGAACATTATAGTTTTGAATTTCTTTATAGGACTTCTTAAGCTCATTTTTTTAAAAAAAACGTCGCCCCACTTAGGATTATCTCCTGTGTCGTGGGTGCGTTTACAAACATACAAGTTCACATACACATGACACCCAGACCCGAAACAACAATTTGTGGATCACACAAAGTATTGTTCTGTGCGGGAATCGAACCCGCGACACGTTGCACGGCAGCCGGTTGCCCAGCCACCGCACCAACCGTGCAGTCAAATTGTGTTTTGAGTCTATTTGTTTTTATGCTCTCCTTTTTTCGAGACGCAAAGTCATCTTGCACATTATAAAATCCCAACATGTTAGATTACCAAACTCTCAGTCATTGCACATTTGGCAAAAGTTTGGATAGCATAGTGACTTCCTATTCTTAGGATGCGTCTACATCGTGTGGCGAATGCGACACACGCGTGGTCTGTGTGGTCTGGTCGCGATTGCTCGTTCAGTCACGGCAATTGTTTAGTGCTCAATTCATACAAGATTCGTATAAATTATTATGTTTTCGGCTTACTCACGTAATTGAGCAGCATTTCGCGACCCGCGACGCGGCGATTGTCGCGCTGCTACATCATGAATATGAGCCTCTAGCATGGCTTGAAACTAGTCGAGTTCCTCGTCAAATTATTTCGTGAGTAAGCCGAAAACATAATAATTTATTTAGTATGTCTCACGAAAGTTATAATACAAAGATTCGTATACATAACAATTTTAAATATACGCACGCAGATCGTGAGCAACTCGCGAGCAGCGCATTCGCGGAGCATTCGCCAGATGTGAACGAACCCTTGGACTTTAGAATATTAGAACATGTGAATAATATTAAACCTTAATACAACAGACATAATTTCCATATTGACATGACAAGCAGAAATCATTAAAGGTCAAAATACAATAACACAACTCACCATAAAGTCTAAGAGTGCCCTCACTCTTTCCTAATGAGTTGGTACTGACACAGTTGTAAGTACCGATGTCGTTTTTTGAGAAATTTCTGATGGTGAGCTTCATCATCACCCTGTAGGAAGACCGCTCCTCACCTATCACGTACTTTGGCCTAGGACAAACAAAAGAATAGGTCAAAACTGAAAAAGATTAAAAATTTTCTTAAAAATTACATAACATAACATAACGTCACGCCTTTTATCCCCGAAGGGGTAGGCAGAGGTGCACATTATACCACTGTACAATGTAACACCCACTTTTCACTATTTATGTTATGAGTCCCATGTAATAGGGGGTGAGCCTATTGCCATATACCGGGCACAATTCCAGACTCCGTGCTACTACTAAGAATTTTTTTAAAACCCAGTAATACTTTGCCCGACCCGGGAATCGAACCCGAGACCCCTTGCTCGGTAGTCGCACTTGCGACCACTCGGCCAACGAGGCAGGCTTAAAAATTATTAATAAAAAAAGTTCTGAAATCTATTTTTTTTGCCGTAATCACACTCAACACAATTATATTAATAATTTCACAAACAAACGAGTAATATAAGTAACAGACAGGTTCCTAATCATAAAGGACTTTTTTAAACAGAAAGTAGGGTCATCACATATTAAACTGGAGGTCTTCAGCCAGAATGAAGTTAAGACAATAACATACCATCAAGCCTTTTATCCCCGATGTGTATGTCATTATTGTTATGTTATAAGTCCCATGTAATAGCGGGTGAGCCTATTGCCATATACCGTGCACGATTCCAGGCCAATTCCAGACTCTGTCCTACTACTGAGATTTTTTTAAAACCTAGTAGGTACTCCTTTGCCTGCCTAGGCAGTAAAATAATAGTCTTTAAAAATCTTAATAATAAAACTGTCTAGAAAGATGCAGATCGATTTTAAAATATCCTTTCAACATCGCTCGCTAATTGGGTAAGGAAAATCCATTCTGCGAAAGTCGAGGCAGTCTAAAGTTAAGAAGACACTTTAAACAGGACTGAAGTCCGATAGTCAAACACCCATATCATCAAGCAAATATCAATCTAAACACAACTACAAAAAACCAACTACTAAAAAGAAAAAAACAACAAGTTAACGCAAAAATTATGATAAATGAACTCCCCGATCATTAAAGACCGTACCTTCTTTGCCGATATTCATAAAAAGAGAATGCTAATAAAAAACCTATCCATCGGTTCCTCTTGACCGTTACAAGTGGTTTTCAACAATGGTTTCACAAATCATGGTGATTGTGCCAGCATTGTTATACTGAACAGTGGAATCAATCATTCACTATATGAACTCTTTATTACTGGGTTCAGTACAATACATGTGGAAATCTAACCCTGACGTTGGGGCTTTGAAAATTGCGTTTTGAAAATACATCTTTTAATCAACCCTTTGAGTACCGTCATTATAGACACAATTAAAGAACAATAGGTTGCGGTCACCGGTGTCCTCGCGGTGTCAGACAGTTTAATAAGTTACATAAATTCAAAATGTTTCCTTCGGGTGTACAGAACAGTTTTAATCGGTTTTTGTTTTTTAAAACTGGTGGTGGAAACCAAATTCAAATGTAAACACATTTAATCTCTCAAACACCGAGCGGTCATCGGTGACCGCGACCTATTGTTCTTTAATTATGTCTATAAAACCGGTACTCGACGAGTTAATTAAATAAAAATCGCGGGTTACCCATAAAAAATACTGAGAAAAGCACTACTACTTTTGAGCCACAGAAGGGGTATCTTCCTCATGGATATGCTGTATATATCATAAGTAGGCTACGCGACTGCGCATGCTGTTCATGAGAAGCCCGTGAGTAACCCGTGATTTTTAATTAATTCAGTATGTCTCACGATACTTATTATAAAAATAAACACTTTTTTTCAGTTTTGTCAATTTGTTCCTAAGTTATACCACCTAAGTCCCATAAAAGTACCAAAATTAGGTATTAAGGATTTTCAGATGTATTAATTGTCATCAGTTATCTAGTGAAAGTTCAAAAAATTTATATATTTAAGCTCTCAGAACAGAATCATCAAGTACCGAAGTCGCTCGTAGGCTGATCGACTCTAAACGTGACCTAGGCTGGCTATTTCTTCGGATAGAAAATTAGCAATGTCATTTAACGTGGCAATGCTGCCAGTCTTCTGGGAACATTCCTCAGTGACCGTTCCTCATACGGACGAGTACTTACTTTTAATTAAGGGTATTATTTTTTATTCTTTTTATTCATAAGTTTAATTTATGTATTATGTAATTAAAAAATTTAGTAAAATATATCTAGAAACTATCATCAAGTCTAATCAAGTCCTATTCGTATGGGTGTCTATGTTAAAATCACTGTTTTCATGGCCACAATTGCCACTTATTGGTACTTTAAGTTCACGTTGTGCACTGAAGTGGTTCCCCTTGTTATGATAAGTATGTGAATACCACAAACTGTGCGAGTTCTTATTGACGAACAATTGAACTGATAAAGGGGTTTCTAAGAAAACCGGATCATTGTGATCTCAATAGGATTTTTTGGAAACCAATTGACTTTGTAAGGAAATAATGCTCTTTTGGGATTGTTTTGTTATTAGAGGTAGTGTTTTTTTAGTATAAAGACATAAGGATTATTGTCTAGTTTTAGGTATTGAGTTTAATTTTTAAAGGGAGTAAAATATTCGTAGGTATTAACAAAGTTTTATTTTGGGTAATTTGGGCGATGTATATTTTTATGATGACGCGACCAATATATTACTGTCTAGTTTTGCTAACTACGCGAGAGGTCACAAGTGCGACTAGCCGGGCAAAGGGTCTCGGGTTCAATTTCCACGTCGGGCAGAGTACTGCTGGTTTTTTTTAAAAAAATCTCAGTATTAGCACGAAGTCTGGAAATGTGCCCGGTATATAGCAATAAGCTCACCCCCTATTACATGGGACTCATAAGATAAATAGTGAAAAGTGGGTGTTACATTGTACAGTAGCATTAAGTACCGTAATGTACACCTCCGCCCCTTCGGGGATAAAAAGGCGTGATGTTATGTTTTGCTAACTTAACATAACCAGATAGCATGATTATGACGAAGCGTGCCATAAATGCATGTTCTAATTACAACCTTATCGACACAATCAGAAGAATTTCTAACACCTGTAATAATTTCAATAGCTTCCACGAATAATTCGAAGCCCCATAAATTAGCTTATACCCTAACACATTCATGCACTGCTACTCAAAATTTATGGCATAAATCCAACTATTTATATCCTTTTAATCGTTATGGTGGCGGCCATGTTTTAAAATGGCTGCAATAGCGCGAAAATTGCATGTTTCTATTTTGAACTGTGTTTCTTCTATAAGTACATACCTTTATTGGTTTATATTCTTAGGGGTAGCCTTTATTATTGTTGATGATGATGACGATGATTGGGTATAATAAAAATCAATGAAATTATTGTGTTTTTAATCTTGAACAGTTTTATGCTTATTGTTATTATCCTTTTGATAACCAACCCAATAATTAAGTTGTCATTTAAATATGACCTTTAAATCTTATGTCGTATGATATATAATTTGATGAAATTTAATCTTTGTTTGTCTATTCTAAGAATGCATAATGTATGAGATGCTAATTATTTTATTTTTTGTTGTTGTTTCTTATGTTTGTTCTAATTGTGTGTTCACCTTAAATAGACTTCTGTTCACGGGAAATTTGTATTTGTGTTTAATAATTTAAACTTAGACTAATACCTAACTAATCTCTTGAGAATGATGTGTTAGCCTTTAATTGATTGTTACACTGACAAATGCATATTGTATCTAAACTGATTTGTTGTAATATGAAGTGTAAAGAGTCGTTGGCTGACGTTGATAAATAAATAAATATATTTCATAACGTCAATACAAAAAGCCGACGGCTAGTGGTCAGCGCGCGGTTCACTCGAGGTGTAGACGAGGCGCCCGCGTGCTGACGGCGCGCCTCCCGCGAGCCGATAGCGCGCCGCAGCCGTGCCGGAGCCGTGCTTATTAGATGTACGATGACCTATACCAATCTCCAATATAACAATAACTAGAATTATATGTCGACTAGCGACCCGCCCCGGATTCGCTCAGGTGCAATATGCATTCATTATACATATAAACATTCCTTAAGAATCATTCCTCCTATTAAAAAAAACCCATAGCAGGGCCATCAATTGATTACTTACTCAACCCAGTCGAAAGGTATCGACATCTGTTAGAATCATTTGGAGTTAACAGATAATTGTGACTGTCAAATAATAACAGATAAATAATTAGCAATAAATTAAAATTGCGACTATAATTTGAGATTTAAACTATCTTATCTCTCAAGTTGGATCGAACTACACATGGTGTGCGAATTTTATTATAATTGGTTAAGTGACTACACCAGAGTGCCAAGCACGAATAACTATCGCATTCGTAACGTAATAGTATCGAGCGCGTTCGGCGTTCTGATTGGCCAGCTCAAGTGAACCAACCAATCAGAACGCTTAACGCGCTCGATACTGTTACAATACGAATGCGATAGTTATTCGTGCTTGGCCCTCAGATAACTGATGATAAACTCTGTCTCCTTTCTAACCAGAATATCAGAAACACAGTTGTAGTCGTTAAACAAATCTAAAACCATTAAGATTTTATTGTATTTTCTGTCTCCTTACCCATCAAGAAGCATCTCTCCTCTGTTCTTGAGCCAATAGTTGATAGTGTTAGGATAGGCTTCCACTGTGCATTCTAGTATAACGTCGGTGCCGAGCGGCGCGCCCAGCAACTGGTTTGGCACTATCACCGTTGGTGAAACTGTTGGACAAAAAAGAATAGTTTAATTTAAAAAGGCATTATTTACTTTGAGATTAGTGTCTCAAAGAGGTATTTACAAGAGACACTGAAAACTAATATAACTATAACTAACTAGAAACACTGAATATAAATAAAAATACATCATACAAATATAAATGATACAATACAAATGTAACCATAATCAAAATCATTTATTTCAATTAGTTAAAGATAAAGATATAATTATTTATTTAGTAAAGCATGAGTGTTTACAATAAAGGTGTTTTTTTTTTGTTAGTACAGAGTCTACATGTTTTGCCATTTATGGCATACTAAATCAATCACTTTAGGCAGATTATTATCTAATCTATGTACAATCAATTAATACAAAATCAAATATCAAAGTTTGAATGAAAAAAATATTATAATGTAAATGAATAACAATAAAAATCATAATTCAAAAATCACAAGTCAAACAGTTTAAATTATGTCAACTGGTTAACCAAATTAATAAACCATATGTCATTATTAAAGATACATATATAGTCATTATTATAGACCAAGTAGACACTTTAGAACATCAACCAAAAAATTTAAAAGTGAAGCTAATTGCTCATGTCAAAGTGTTGATTCCTATGGAGAAGTATGAGCAAAAAAATTCATACTCAATATTCAAAACATCTGTAGACTCACTGGTACCATTTTTGTTTTATAAGGTAAAGGTAAAGCAATCTTATGTTCCCAAATTTTATCAAGAACATAACATAACATAACATCGCGCCTTTTATCCCCGAAGGGGAAGGGGTAGCCAGAGGTGCGCATTATGCCACTGTCCAATGTAACACCAACTTTTCACTATTTATGTTACGCTTACGAGTCCCATGTAATAGGGGGTAGCCTATTGCCATATACCGGGCACAATTCCAGACTCCATGCTACTACTGAGATTTTTTTTAAAAACCCAGTAGTAGGTACATAGCCCGACCCGGGAATCGAACCCGAGACCCCTTGCCCGGCAGTCGCACTTGCGACCACTCGGCCAACGAGGCAGTCAAGTCAGTTTATCAAGAAACAGACAATAATTATGTTTTCCAAATGTTAAAATGTATCTATGATTACCAGAACCAAAATCCCATCCTTTTAAATATCAGTAATTGACTTGGGCATAATCACCGCTATACTACTAAGATAATAAGGCATATCAAATCACAAAATACAATAATAAATCTAACCTATCAAAGACTATTAATATTAATTCACTTAAATTAAAGCAGGACCGTATAATGAGATTAGACAACCTCCTAGCTTAGGCAGGTGTGTTGGAATCAATACTATATCCTATTTCCATGTACCGAATGATAGAATATTCATAGTTGTGCCTTGTTTGATCTAGGATAATCATATACAAAGCTATTTTGCAACTGCAAGATATTTCTTGAACTGTATTAGTTACCAAATGGGTTTGTAGAAGATATTATTGTTCTTAAGATGTTGTGTATGGGGAGCGTAAATGATACACGGACAAGAGTTAACTGTTTGGCTGGGAAATGTGTCGACTTCAATGTCACTGGTTCCATCTCGACTGGGCACCGCAGCTGTGCTCGGTCTCGTGCGTGCTCAATATTGCTCACTGATGCCTGTCACATCATATCACATCACAACACAATTGATCACATTCACATGTGTTCAATGGTCGCCGGCGTATGGCGTAGTGTCGCGGTTTTGCCTGCTTGCTGTCGCCATCTCAATCCCATGGCATGACTTATGCGGTCGCTGGGGTGGCGGGGGCGGTAGGATGCTCCAATTTCACTTTGTTTTTTGTTTTACATTTTTTTAATTTCCTTTTTTGTTGTTATATATTTGTTTTGTTTTGTGCATTTTATTTTGTGTTTTTATCTGATTGGTGTCTTGTTCGTCCGCGAGTCACTTAAGGGGCCAGTAGAATACCAGCGCGAGGCCCTGTCTTGCACATGCTGAACTGGTCCCATTTCACCGCAGACTTGGGACATTAGTAGATGTACTTATGTGTAAAACGTCTAAAATCTGTACGAGTCACCTGTTTTAGCGTGTGAAATAAAGTTTTTCTTTCTTTCTTTCTTTAAAGAGTATAGAATGGATGCTATATTGCGACTAAAAACATTTTACAATAGCAGGCGCAGCTGCACATAGGCACACACACTTATATAATAAAATACCTTACATTGCATGTTATTACATGCGTCACCAATGTACTTGTGTCCCTACAGGTTTAACTATAAATGTTTGAGATTGACAGAATATTTGACGCACCTAAATAATCCCTACTAAGATGATGATTTCGAACGTTAGTATGTTTTGTTGTTACCCCTTCATGTCAAAACGGCTGAACGGATCAAAATAAAATTTGAAACAGGACCATAACCTACCATAACATAAAAAAATATGTAGGTTACTTTTTATCCAGGATCACGGGAACGCGGTCGAAGCGGCTAGCAGAAGCTAGTTTTTGATAATACACCTCATTAAAAACCTTTGACAGTCCAGTTCTGAGATCGGGCCTTCTCTGTACCATAAGGAGGCTTTGACCTACTATAATCACTATGCTTAACGGGTGGGTTAGTAAACGATGTTTTTTTTTTCATATTTAATGGGCCGACGCTTGACCTCTATCTCGCCTGGTGGTAAGCGATGATGCGGTCTACAATGGGTTGCTTCGTATAGCATTCTGTTTACAGCCTGTACCTATAATAAAAAAGTACATTGAACGTATTTTATTTAAAACTCGCAGAAATGATAATAATATTTTATGATATCTATTTTCGAAGTATCATACATTAGAATGGAGATAAAAGAGCCGTAATATCGAACTTTAATATTTTATGAGAACTCAATGTAAACCCTTTACTTTTCAAGGTACGTTATTCTAGGTATTTTCTTTTAAAAGTATTGTTAAAATGTTGTGCAAAAACTACAAAGCTATACATACATTTCTTGCTTCAATTTTATTTTACTGTTGCAAAAAGCTAATGGGACTTATTATCATACCTTTTTGATATTCCTGTCCATGGATAATACGTACAAGAAATCTGTACCTTACATTTGTATACATGCTTATAATAAAGGTACAAATAATAGAATGATTACCACCACTTTTTTTATAATAACTATCGTGAGACATACTAAATTAAATAAAATCTCGGGTTACTAACGTGAATATACTGAGAAAAGCTCTACTCAGTGCTGAGCAGCTCAGTGAGCTGCGCGACGTCGCCGCGACCGCGCACGCTGCTCATGAGAAAGAACCCCTCTGTGGTTCGAAACTAGTAGAGCTTTTCTCAGTATATTCACGTGAGTAACCAGCGATTTTACTCGATTACCACCATGTCGATAAGTAACAAAATCTGTCAAAAGTTTTCGTTCATCGACACAGTCATATTGGATTTTTGCCTTTGGTTCAACATTCTGTTCATTATTGTATATTCATCTATTATATATATATTGTATATTGTATTTTGGATATTCATTATTTGTAGACCAAATAAACAAACAAAAGTTATTAGACGTGCTTAAATACCAGAATAACAAAAGACGTCATTCACTATCAATTACGGATTACAAATTCAATCGGCATCAGAAACAATTACAGTGGAATCGAGAAGTTTCTAAATGAACAGGGTCCCGTGATTTCGGTCCTTGGGGACTACCCCTAGGGAGCTACGTGCCTAGACTAGACACCTTAGGACATTTTCACTATTGCTTTTTATTTATTTATTTATTTATTAATGACTAACGTTTAGAGGTATGATATAGTCTTTTACTTGGTTACAAAATAATAAATTTTATCATACACGAATTAGTCTTTTGAATAAATAGTCGTAAAGATTTTGAGTTATATCATTAACGTCCAATTTCAATAACTTATCTATCTGTAGATTTGCTTACTAGAGATAGAATTTTGACATGAGCTCCATACAAAACGTGTCAAAAATCTATCTCTAGTAAGCAAATCTACAGATAGATAGGTTATTGAAATTGGACGTAAGACGTTAAAGTAGGATAATAAAAAATAGAATCTCATAAATAATATTAAAGTTAAATTAAGTTTTTTAATTTTATACTGGGTATAAAAAGGTATGTGCATAAAAATTATAAATCAAATTTTTCCGTTGTAAATAAAACGAATCTAAGTTTATAGGTCCCCACCTATAAACTTCCAGCGAGAACGTCATTTCCACGTATAAAACAATGAATTGTGGTATCGTAAAATTCTATTGTTTCTGTAAGAAAATAAATAATACCTATCTTATGTTTTAAAACAGTCTACCAGACAGACATTAAAATAAAAATTAGTCATCTACCCTATAGTAACTTAGATTACAATAAAGTAAAGTTTTGTTATCGAAATCGCAATAAGCATGATAAAAAATGATCACCCGAAACACCAAAGAAATGAGAACTGGTGTGAAGAACCCTACACTGTTGCTGATTGATACAGGGGCAGTGGAACGCGTCCACAAATTTACCTACCTCGGGAGCATCGTGTCAAACTGACCATTTAGATGTTATACAGTATTTTTTTTTTAAGGGGGGAAAATCATCTAGTGACTGCTCGGGAGTGTCAGACTCTTACTGACTAAAAACCACTCCGTTCCTTCTCCTGCACGTCGAGCCGGAGCCCCGGTTACCCGTTAGGTTCTCCGCGACTCCGAATCGGCAATGTTATACAGTATTAGATACATATATTTACGGTTCAATGTTTCTTTTTCCTACCTCTATATATCTATACTTTAGCTAATGGAAGATTGTTGTTCTATTACTGAAGGCAACTATAAAACTACATTCAAAACTTACAACTAAACTACAAAATAGGCTAATTCAAGCGACAAGGAACCTGAAACTAGCAATTGCTTACTTTTAGAATAAGCATTATACTTCTACGTTCATAGAATTGCTTTGGAAATGGTCTGTTACGGGAAATGCTCACGTGTTAACGGGGTATTAGAGATTATTTTCATGCAAACTGGCATGGAAACAAATAAATA